CAATGCCAGTAATTTAGCAGTATCTAGCAGTATTTAGCAGTTTCTCGCGGTCATTAGCGACCCATTTACTGGTAAGCGGTCAGTTCTATCGGAGGTGATCAGTCGAGTTTTGAGTAAGGTACCATACATGAATCAATATTCCCGGTCGGGAAGATTTTGAGATTATTGCCTTTTTTAGTCTGCGCTCTAGTCTCGGATCCGCGATACTTTCGGTCGGTTTCTTCCCCTTGTCTTTGCTTGCTCCATCGCTCGTCTGTCAAGGGTCCTGCTCTAGTTTCTTCCTCCTCCTCTTCTTCTTCCTCTTCTTACTCTTTCTCTCTCTTCCTCCCTCTTCTCCCCCCTCTCCACCATTTCCCCCCATGGTTTGTTGAGGGATTTCATCTTCTCCTCTGTGCTTTGGATCCCATCCCCGGGCCCTCCCGTACACTCCTCTTCCCTCCTCCACATCCTCTCCGTCCTGCTTTTCTGTCCTCTTGTCTCACCTGTCGCCAAGCGGATTAATTTCTTATCCTCCTACTCTTTCGCCGCTCCTCCTCCTCCTCCTCCTCAGCTTCTTCTTTTCCGTGTAATTTTTTTTCTATTGACAGAAGTCGAGCTGTGCTCCCTCGGTCGGCCATCATGTCCTCCCCCCAATCTTCGACTAAACGCAAGCGCAGCGGTTCCCAACATCTTTCCGCCAATGCCGCCATTCCATCCCCTGCAGAACTTTTGCAACCCTCCTCTCGCGATGCGTCCGGTGAGGAAGGCGACGAGTCCACAGGCTCCGCCATTCCCTTGCCCAGCAAGCACAAGAAGCAGTCGTCTCTCGATGTCACCTCTGCCGGCACCGTTCCGCCCACCAAACGGGCCCGCAAGGCGTCCACCAGTGAAGGTCACGTTCCAGCTTCCAATGGCGATCTCCCCGACGCACCATCGGCCCTCAGCAAGGAGGATCCGGGCGAGCCATCAGAGACCACCGTGGCCAGCAGTGATATCGAGAGTCGGAGCAAGAGCCGGCCGGGCTTGCAGGTGGACACATCAGAGCCGTTGATGAGCCCTCCCGCGCGTGCTGGACTTCAGGACCCCGTTGGTTATCACACCAACCCTCCGCCAACGGGACGGCCGGTGCGCGTGTATGCGGACGGCGTGTTTGATCTGTTCCATGTGGGGTATGTATCGGCCATCTGGCTTATGTGGACAGAGTGCTAACCATGAGGTGTGCAGACACATGCGACAGCTGGAACAAGCGAAGAAGGCGTTCCCTGACGTGCATTTGATCGTCGGAGTGACCGGAGACGAGGAAACACACAAGCGCAAGGGACTGACGGTCCTGAGCGGTGCCGAGCGCGCAGAAAGCATCCGTCATTGTAGATGGGTGGATGAAGTGATTCCCAATTGCCCTTGGATTGTGACGCCGGAATTCATCGATGACCACCAGATTGATTACGTTGCGCATGATGATCTACCATATGGTGCGGATGAGGGAGATGATATCTATGCGCCGATCAAGGCTCAAGGAAAGTTCTTGGCTACACAGCGGACAGAGGGTGTGAGCACAACGGGAATTATTACCAGGTGAGTTGTGCTGCTCGATGGCTATGCTTGGATGGAGGCTCATTCAAATACAGAATTGTTCGCGACTACGACCAGTACATTTCTCGACAGTTTAAGCGTGGTGCTTCACGACAGGAACTGAACGTGTCATGGTTGAAGAAGAATGAGCTGGAGATCAAGCGTCACGTGAATGAGCTCCGAGACAGCATCCGGTCTAACTGGACTACGACAGGCCAAGAATTGGGTCGGGAGCTGCGTCAGTTCTGGCAAAACAGCCGGCCCAACAGCCCGCTATCGAGCGCGCGCAACAGCGTGGATCTGGGCGGCTCGCGCAGCGGTGTCACCAGTCCTGTGCTGGGCAGCAAGGCGCATGTTTCTCGGGTAGAGGCTCTGGGACGTCCGGAGAGCACAATCGGCAACGGTCGGAACGAGCCGGACTTTGCAACGGGCTACAGTTTGGGATTGATTGGTGGTGTTCGCGCATGGGTAGGTGCATGATTCTTACTACTCTGTTGCATTGACTAATTTGACCCCAATGTAGATGCGCAGTCGCCGTTCTCTCGTGGGCAGCCGGGCACCATCGCCCACCAGCGAGGAAGAGCACGATTCGGAGGTGGAACGCAGCACGGAAGCATTGCAGCAGCAGCTTCAACAACAGGAGCATGAGCAGCATCACGGTTGATTGATTGATTGATCATCTATGATATTTTTCATCAGACCCCCAGACTGGTGAAGAGGTCTGTGTTCTGACTTGTTGCAACGATCGATGTAAGTTAAGCGAGGACTTTATTTTCATTAGCTCACGGTAGCGTTGGAAAAAAAAAAGAAAAGGAATAGATGTTTTATTTGACATTTCTTTTTTCCTTTCTAACCGAGTTAATGAGTAATGATTGTCTGGATTGGTATGTTTAATGGGATGTTGGGATGGATTGGTGGTTATTGTTGGTTGGTTGGGTTTTTTGGTAAATTGCATATTCTTTTCAATTCTTATTCAGGGCATGAGATGGATGGATGGATGGATGGTAATGTACAGCTAGATTGATTGATAGAAGGGCTAATTCATTCATGGATATGGGAAAGTTGTAGTAGCAGTATGGGGATGCAGTATATATAGTAGTCAGTCTAACCAACGACTTCTATCGTGCACACAAACAACAAAACAATGAAGGGTATCTAAGTATCATCATGCAACAAATCGCTTTAAACATCACTTTCTTCCCTTAAGCAGCCATAATAGCCAACCTCCCCCTCCTCTCACGCACCACATCCTCATCAATCATAAACCCATCATCCCTCTCCCGACACATCACCTCGACCAACCTCTCCCTAAGCGCCTGCACATCCCTCACCAACCCATTCTCCAACACCCGTCTCGCCAACCGATCACACCTAACCATAACCCCCAACTCGAACCCCTTCAATCCCCGTACCTGCAACAACGGCCTCACCCACTCCTCCTCAGTCCCAAAACTGACCATATTCCCCCCGGTCACCGACATCCCCCCACCTCCTCCTACATGGTTATTAACCGCAAACACGGTCCCCAGATCCAAACCCAACCTGACCCTCTCCAACCCGGGACACTTCCTCGCCACGGCATCCCAGAATCCACCCCAGAGCATATCATTGTGCGTATGCGTATACACTGAAAATGGATATTCCTGGCCGGCCATGGGCTGCCAGATCGGTGTGTATTGCACTGTCAGGGACTTGATGTATTTCCGAAGATGGGGGGAGATGGTGTTGATGAATGAGAGGAAGGTGTAGAGGTCGTCTGTGTCGATGGTCGTGAGGGAGTAGAGGAGGGGGGCGGACTCGAGGTACATGGCTCGGCAGGTTAGGAGCGGGGAGGTGGTGTTGTGGGAGAGGGTGGTGGGGAGGGAGGGGTGGGTGTGGGGGTAGAGGGTGCTGTTTGTGTCGTGTTGCTTTGCTTGATTTGTTCCTTTGGCAGGGTTTGTGGTGGTAGTGGTGATGATGGGTTTGGGAATGGTGGTGGGAGAGGTGCGCCATCTGGCCATGGTTTGGGGACAGCATTGGCGGTGTTTGTCGAGTGGGGAGGGGTGTGTGCATCGGACGTGGTGGATTTTGTTGCGGATTTGGACCAGGTGGATGGTTGTGTTTGTAGTAGTGGTGTCATTGGGGTTGGGACTGGTGTTGGGGGAGTCGTTGAAGACGTAGGCGTAGATCATGAGGCGGACCTCTGGGGGCAGACGTTGGAAGAAGCTGCTTGTTGGTTGGGAGGTGCTGTCTGCTGCTGCGGATGGTATGATGTTGTCGTTGGGTGTGGATATAGATGGGGGACTGCATATTTGACGAGATTGAATCAATTCGCGAATGGTTTCTGGCCATCGTTTGCCTGTGGGATAGTAGTGGAAGATGGAGTAGGGGTCGCGGAGCATCCAGGTGTCGAAGTGGCGCATTTTGTATAATGTAATGGTAGTATAAATATTGTCTAGTCTAGTGGTTTAGATGTATGGATAAGATGTAGTAGAATGAAAGTCTAAAAGGTGTATGAATTTAAAGGAGTATAGAGAAAGAATGACGGGACTAGCTTATATATATAAGCTAGTTTAGTAGTGGGAAATGCACAGATACACACTGAGATAGTTGAAAGAAGTACGAAGTGATAATAGCAACATATAAGAAAGAGTATAAAGTAATAAATTAGTTAATATTCGAGAATCGGAACAGCACGGTCTCAAGTGCAACCTTATGACGTGGTGGCGGCCAATCAACTGGTTCAACATGCAGGGATGCTGCAGTCAAGCTCGCCGGTAGGATCAGAGTGCTCCGGTTGTCGTAGTAGTGGTGGTGGTACTTAGTAGTATTAATGTTGAACTGTAGATTGAGAATAGTGGTATTCTGGGTTGTTCCAATTGAAAATGCCACGTAGAGATGCTACATGAACAGAGTAAAGAGTAGTATAAGAAGAAGTGATAACCCCGGATTGCCTTCCCTCCACTATCTCCGTCAGTATCAGTATTAGTCTGGTAAGAGCATTGAAGCGAGCCTATCACAATCCCAATCCAGAAAGAGCTTCAGCCACTTTCCCGCATTACGACCAATCACAGACCTCAAAAGCAATTGGGGATGCCCATTGGAGTGGAGCTCTCTACACGCTTTGCCACTTGCGGACTGGCATCATTTACTAGCGTATACTTACTAGTAATGGGAGTATCACTGCATTCGACCGCCTCACTTCCACTGCTATCAATCAATTAATCAATCAATCACTCCCCCGTAACTAGTGACTTTATATATCCTTTGTATATACTGCTATGCTTTGCGCCAGTATGCTATGCAATATAAGCCCTTCCTCTCCCTTTCGACATGTGGCATCGCTCAACCTCTTCCCTCCGCTGTCGAGCTATGCACTGTGACGCCGACCTGCTTCCTTTTCTCTCCCCCCCCCCTCCAAAGAACTTCAAGGCAAATCCCTCAGATCGTCGCGCGATTTGCAAAACGCCTCATGCGCGACCCCCGCTCTGTTGTCTTTCCCCGCCCTCCTCCAGACGCGCTTCTGCAGCCACTCCAGCCCGGTTCTCGTCCGTGCCCTCTTGAGCTCCTCCCTCCTTCTCCTCGGATGCGGTTCCTTTTGCGCCCTCTCGCGCCATGGCCACATACATCGCGCTCACCAGAATCAGCGCCGATCCCGCCCAGCTCACCGCCGACAACGTACTACCCCAGATCGCCCGGTCGTAGAACACGGCAAACAGCATCTGTGTGTACAGCATGAAAGTAGCCCGCGATCCGGACGATGTTGGCTTCGCTGATGCTTCCTCCTCCTCGTCGCGTGTGCCATAGTCCCGATCCCAGTCCACCGAAGTCGTGGGCTTAGTCTTCCGCACTGGCGGCACATACGCCAGACCTGCCGTGAGCAGGAACTGCAGCAAGAATCCGCTAACACCCAGCCCAAGAAGCAGCGTCCACTCCCACAGCGTTCCCGGCAGCTCCAGCGGGACCGAGGGCATGATCAGCATCGCCAGTGTAGCTACGACCGTCGTGAAGGAGGAAAAGTAAGTCACTGAGACGAGTGGGTGGCAGCGCTGTCCGATCATCCGGATCGTGGTGTACGCACAGGAGGCTCCCAGCACTCCGAACGAAGCCACCACGATGGCCAGCACGTGGTGGTAGCTATCGGTGGCACCGGGCTTATCGCCTTGCTCCGGTTCTTCGGAGTCGGCGCCCGAGCGCATGAACGGGAACGGCCGAGCAATGAGAACGACACCCGCCAGCGAGACCAGTCCGGCAAGTTGCTGCTTGCGCGTGAATGTCTCGTTGGGGATCAAGAGCGAGCAAGCATAGCAGCTCAGGATCGGCGCTAGGAAAGTCACCACGGTCGCCTCGGAGAGCGGCAAATACTGAACGGAGTAGTAGAGCCCGTAGACGCCGAAGAATCCACCTCCAGCGCGCAGCATCAGCAGAGTAAAGGTTTCGCGCGTTCCAAACGGATGCGGTACTCGCGCGTACCACATGTAGAGGTAACTAGCGAGAACAGTGATAGACATGCGGGCGAACAGGATCTGTAGTACGGGGATCAGCCGGGTTCCTGAGCAGGGACATCTAGTGTCTCGACTAGAGGGAGCCCCCACGAGTGGGCGTCCCCTACACCAGTACACACAGTAGATCATCCATCTACTAGGTAACTAGCTATCCAGCAGATAGGTAGGTGATATAGAAACGCACCTGAAACGGATGAAACCCCTTCCCATCACGACCCTTGATTTCCAAAACCTGCGTCATGACATTCATTGACGCGCCAAAGAACTGCGCGAACATGACCAAGATCATGCCCTTACCCTGCAGCCAGACATCGCAGGATACCTGCTGCGCCGTCTTCCACCATGGCTGAGTTGAGCAGTGCTGCATTGTTGAAGAAGCAGAAGCAGAAACATGTCCATGTCCCGAATGAAGCAGTGGCGTCTGCTCCGAATAGACAACGTGCTGCTGCTGCTCATCGACTTGGTCGTTCTGAGCCGGTAGTAAAGTTACATATTGTTGCTGAGTTTCTTCACCCGCGGTCGAGTTGACGCCCCTTGCGTCAGATGGATTCAGAGACATTTTGATTCCAGTGGTTCCAGGTAAGTGATTTTATTTTGCTTTCGTAGTTCGTGTTTTTGATTTCCTTTTTTCTTCGTAAATCATAAATTCATGAAAAACAAAATGGTTCTGAAATGTCGTTTAATCGTTCATGTACTCATGAATAAACAAGAAAAAAATAAGTAAAGTAGTGTATCCCTGCGCCCCTTTGGAAAGAGGAAGAAAAACTTGCAAGTCAACAGACCGGCTGGAAGAGCACTGGAATGCGACGATATCACTTTTTATTTATTAATCAAAAGAAGAAAATAGTTAATAAATCCCAGTCAAAATAAGCCCGTGACACCAAACTGCTTTTAGAGCCGCGATCGGCCTGGTTTTTGTTGCATGACTAATCGGGCCCTTGTGACACCCTTCGGTTTGGAGGGGAGTTTGTCCGAATAATACTATTCTTAACTGTATGTCAATTGAGTGTGCTGTTGGAAAGAGTATATGGTGTTCAATGTATTGTCTTGAACAATCTGACTGAATGCTATACAGGTATCCTTGGGGCTTGCTGGCTGTGCATGGGAATGGTTCCTTGGTTGTGGTGCGCTTATCGGATCTACTCTATATCTGGTAGCTGCTAGGTAGATATATGTTGGCTAATGTAATCCTAACAAGAGTTGACTATACTGCGCTGCGATATCACATCATGGAGTAGAATACATGGGCGGATATGATGCCAACATGGAAATTCAATGAGATGTGCATCTGCATGTGAGCAGCAGGGATCAAACTTTATCAATTACTCAAGGTCCGTGCCCAGACTTTGTGTTAAGTAGTTGTTGGTCTACCTTCAACAGTATACAAATAAATTATACAGATCCTAGTAGTATATATGATCTACATAAACGTAAAAGTATCTCCTCCCTTCTCACGCATCATATTGCCCACACGCTGCGTGCCCACAATCCGCTCCAGCTTCAGCGCATCCCACTTGGAGAACAACGCCCGCACGCCTCCCTCGGCCGCCTCCACCAACGCGGCTGGATCCAGTCCCAGGAACCCGACAATCTCGCTGTAGAATGCCGGGTTCTCAGGCACTCCGTACATGATGATCCGCTTGACCCCGCGGAGCTGGTACCGACGGAAGTGGTGCAGACGTTCCGTGTACAGCAGCACCGACTGGCGCCCATTCATGAAATACGAGCGAGCTCGCGCCGCCTCCCGCTGCTCGGTATATTCGGAGATGGCTCCAAACGAGACGTTGGTGGTCTGCTGCGACGTGGCGAAGTGATTACGCACGCGCACAAAGTCCAGGTACGACGGTATGAAGATCAGGGTTCCGCCGGCGCTGGCCTTGCCGCGACCGGAGGCAATGTCGCGCACCAGCGACGAGAGGATGGTCGTGGTGAAGTGCTTGAACCGTGCATCGGGGTCTTTCGCCGGCGAGAGACAGTCGAAGCGGGTAAATGTCTGCCTGACCGAGACCGGGAGGGGGAGCTCGGTGATCGCGCCCGCGTGGATCGGCGTGGCCTTGACCCTGCCCGAGGTGTTGTGCATGTGCGTCGAGAACACCGAGTTCATCTCCGGAGTGACGAATGAGGTGAGCATGATCATCTGCCGCACATACCGCGCGTTGTTGTCCAGGTACCATGTCCGCACACGACTGAAGTCACATCCGTGTGCCTCTCGGGGCTGCAGGTTGAGGTGCTTCATGATGTAGTCGATGTGATCCCAGTTTTGCATGAGCAATGCATCCGCATGATCGACGATTACTACTTCGATAGACGAGAGAAAGTCGTGGTCGCGTTTCTTAACACTGTGAGAGGTTAGATAGAACGTTCTGGACCCAAGGGTTGAGCTAGTCGACTTACTCTGCCTGGTCCATGATGGTGCGTAGACCCAGTGGACTGGCCAGGATCATATCGGAGGTGTAGAATTGCGCAAAATACTTGACAGTCTTGCGGGTGAACTTGAGACCCAGACGGAACATGTCGTCGTCATTGCCACCGAAGAGCTCGCGGAAGTCGTCCGGCTTGCTCTCCCATGACGGGTCATCGGCCGCCGAAAAGGTGTCGAGGAGACGTTTCTTGTTTTCTTGTTGCTCGGGTTGGAAGAAGCGCGTGATGGACTCGACGGCCCGCACACAAGCCTGCTTGGTAGGCAAGAGATAAAGTACCTTCGGCCGAGTGAAGCCCTGGTCTCGGACATCGATGTCGGCGTCTTGCTCTTTGGCCAAGCGTGTGTTGTTCTTGAGCACTCGATCGCGGGTCTTGAGCACGTGGTTGGTGGCGTGGAGGGCCAGAAGATCGCGCATCTGGGCCGAGTTGGATGGCGTCCGGGCTCCATACAGGACGTCCTGGTAGCCGAAGATGTACGGAGCAATGTGCTGGGCCTGTCCACCAATTTGGGGGAATTTATCGGAGGCTGGCTCTTTGAGTTTTCTCTTAAGCTGTACCGGATCTAGATCAGCGGCCATTTCAGTAGACTGGGGCTGCCACGCTCACCTTCACGCTTGAGATCTGTTTCATGGGAGGTAGCCAGGACGCATCGTCTCCAGTATCTGGGATAGTGCGCACAAGCCTCAAGCCTTCTGGCAGTTCCTTCTTTGCATTCTTCCACTTGTTCTCCCCAATAGCCTTGATCTTCTTGGCCAGCTCGTCTTCCGTCGGGTTCGTAAAGTGCGTGTCGAAAGGATCGTTGTCTGTTGAACATTAGTGCAATGGCAAAATAAATAAACAGCATAAGACCATACCGTCTTCGTCATCACTATCCTGTGCACCAGCATCTTCTTGATTCGCATTGTCCTCTTCATCTGAAGGCTCTTGTTGCTCTAGATCGTCCTCCCCGAGAGCTTCTTCGTCTTCCTCCGCAACAGGGTCCTCGCGAACAACCTCGACGGTCTCTGTAGTCTTATGGTCGACCTTTCTCCTCTTGCGAGCCGGGCCCTTGGAGTCGGTAGATGTGTTCAACAGTTGTAGCAGCTCGTTGTAAGGACGACCGGACTTCTCCTCATCCTCTTCATCGCTGGACGAACCGACATCCATGGCTTCCTCTTCGGCCATACCACCCTCCATATGCTCATCGACAGGACCATCTTCACCTGACGAAGAATCATCAGACCTGCACGGTTGGTCAGCTTTACTGTAGAGACCAGCGCGGAAGTGATGCTCACTCTATGTCGGCAACCCGAGAAGCCTGGAAGGCATCGCGGCGCCCGACGGGCCCTCTCGAGCGTTTGCCGCGGCCTCTAGGAGCTCTGCCTCTTGGAGGAGCCATTGATAATGAAGTAAAGACAAAATTAAATTGGCTATGGCCACTAGAATAGCAACAATTCGGGGTCGATTGCAGTTGGGCGGATTATTTTTTCGCGGCGTTGGGGGGGAGTTGCTTATCTTATCTTAGCGCGAAATTCCCTTTGCGCACACACAATTTGAGCCTCGCAGCAGAACCTCCGTCGCGGCATCAGAGGCGGAAGATTTAATTAGTATCCCGAACCCCAGAGTGCCACTCTTTCCCCCCCCACGGCCAGGACGAGATCAACCCGAGAGACCGCTCGACCTATTTTTCATCATGGCTGAAGCTGATTCCTTCCTTCACCTCGCTCGCCCTCTGGGCCCCGTGGCAGTGGGGACTGCACCGACAACCGCCCCTCTGAACGTTGTCATCCAGCCCCAGGTACGTGTTATATGGCTGGGTCTTACAGACTTTTCGACCAGGGTCATAGTGCTAACTCTCTGGGCTAGGCACTCTTCTCGATCCTGGACCACTCCCTCCGTCGCAACGCTGACCAGGAGCGTGTCATCGGTACTCTGCTGGGAACCAGATCCGAGGATGGAACCGAGGTGGAAATCCGCAGCACCTTCGCTGTTGGACACACGGAGACGACAGACCAGGTTGAGGTGGACATGGAATACCAGAAGCAGATGCTTGCGTTGCACCTGAAGGCCAACCCCAAGGAAGTGCTCGTGGGTTGGTACGCCACCTCGTCCGAGCTGAACACCTTTTCCGCTTTGATCCAGAACTTCTATAGCGGCCAGGGTGATGGCACATGGCCTCACCCTGCCGTCCACTTGACCGTCTCCACCGAGGCTGGAAAGGATATCGAGACCCGCGCCTACATCTCCGCCCCCGTTGGTGTGACCGCGGAGAGAGCCGCCGACAGCGCCGCCTTCATCCCCGTCCCTTACGAGATCCGCTACGGTGAGGCCGAGAAGAGTGGTCTGGAGGCTATTGCTGCGGCCCGTGATGCTGAGGAGCGTCGTGCCAACATCTTCACTGATATCGAGGCTCTGGAGCGTGCGATTGAGGATGTTCTGGGCATGATCGACCGGGTTTCCCGCTACGTTGAGTCTGTCATTGACGAGGAGGCTCCTGCTTCGACGGCCCTGGGCCAGTACCTGCTCAACACCTTGGCTCTGGCACCTAAGGTTGAGCCCGCTGACATTGAGCGTGACTTGTATGTTGCCCCTTCTCCCCCAACCCTCAGCTATCTCTTTGAAACCAAGTATCAAACTAACAAAAAAAATCAACAGCAACAACCACATCCAGGACGTCCTGGTCGTGTCCTACCTGGCCAACACCATCCGTACACAGATGGAGCTGTCCAACCGGCTAGCAACCGCCCAGCTGACTCTTGGAGGCGAGTCCGGCAGCGGCGAGTCGGGCGACAAGCGCGGCGGCCAACGGGGCGGCAAAGGAGGCCGGGGCGGGCAACAGCGGACTCAAGAACGGAGTGGAGAGGAGGCTCGCGCGTAAGAGGATATCATAGGGTTATTATAACGATACCTTTCCATTTCTCTTTTTAACATTTATTTCATTTGTGCAAAATTCTTTTTCTCTTTTTCTTTCCAGTTTTATTTCTCTCGCCACGCAACAAAAAGCATGTCCCCCTTGATATCGTTTCATTTCCTGGATATATGATATGTTTCCAGTCCATATCCGGTTCCTTGTGCCAAGCCAGGGGAACTGAAGTCATGTTGTATGGGTGGAAGCCTACCTACAAGGGCTGGTTCCGCATCTAGCAATGGCAGGCATCAACATCCCTACCGATACGCGCCCCATCAATGATCACCCATCTTCCCTGGAAAAGTGAGCACCATAAGGGGCGGATAGGACCTTACGAAGACCAAACCCAACGAACCCCAAAAATTGAAAAGGAGGAAAAAGAAATAAGAATGAAAGAATGAAAGAAAAGAGCAACGAACGGCGTATGGGAGTCCGTCTGTCTGGCTTGAAATGGAAGAAATAAATGGGAAAAGAGAGCAGAAAGAGATGCTTTTACTTACGTACATGCAATCAGCCTTGCAACAGAAGCTTGCATTTCGTTCTTGTCCATTTTTCTTGTATGTGATGCAGGGTAAGGTAGGGTAGTTTTGGTGGTTTGAGGTACATATGCAGTATATTTGTGGCATGTTCACTTTCATGTCTGTTTAGGATTCTATTGATAGTAGACGTTGCAATAGAGTATTATTTAGGGCAGATCACCTCTTATCGATGCAGCTTTACCTTTTACGGTAATGATAGATCCCCTGATAACCTTCATCAATTCAGGGAGCTAGTTAGTTTTAGCTAAGTAGGATTTTCAATCTTGATACATAAGTAACGCCCCCCAATGCCGACCAGATAGTAGTGGATATCATATATGTTTAGAAATGCAGGTGGAACAGCCCTACCCCTGTGGACCCGAACGCCAGAAAAGCAAAAAACGAAGCAGTAGCCAGAGCAGCAAGGAAAGGTATTGAACGAGATCAAATCTCAGCTCATCCCACGACCTTTCGCTTCTTCGGCGCCGTATCCTCTGTTGCATCCGAATCGCGCCTGGCATTTCTCTTCCCCTTGCCCTTACTCTTCTTCCCATCAACGCTTTCACCAAGTTCTTCAAGGCCCTTCTTGCCCGCATCCTTCAAGTTACCGACCTGATCATCATTCTGATCAAATGCCTTACGAGCCTCTTTCAGCTCACGCTCCATGCGAAGAAGTTCCTGTACACGACCAAGCTTGTTCGGATCCCGGCGCAACGCAAATCGGAAGTCATCGACCTTGATCTTCTGTCGGCGGGAATAGCTGGCGTACTGTGCCGCACCGTGACACATCTCGAGAACAAAGTCGGTGACAATCTCGTCCAGTACACGGATGGTTTCGGGGAGTGGCTCGGGAGGGTAAGAAGGGTGCGGACGGGGGTCACCATAAGCAAGAAGGAGGAGACGGACTGATATGTGTATTAATGTTAGCAACGACGACTATATATCTATAAAGTGATTGTAGCCAACGACGGCGGACGTACGTTCAGATGCAAAGTTCATCTGACCCTTGTGCCTAGCGGCACGGGCTCGTGGTTCCGCCATGTTACTCTTCTTCTTCGATCCCTTGTTATTGTTATTCTTGTTGCTATTGTTCGAGGACTGTTCGTCCGCTTCGGCGACGGGTTGCGGTTTAAAGGCGGGACGGTATCCGGCGCGGATTAGTTCTGTTTCCTGGGGATTGAACGGCCAAGCAGAAGCGAGCTGACTCGACACATGGCCAGTGCTGGGTTGACGGGGAGGGGCTGGTGAAGCCCTAGAAGTCTGCTGCGATGGCAGAGAACGGCGGAGAGGCTGCGAGGCTGGACGGGCAGCAGAAGATGTGTTGCGAATTGAAGCAGGAGCTGCGGCGGAACGATGGCCGGACTTCCGCGCGGAAAGGCGGTGGGGACTCGTGACGGAAGACATGGTGGCAGAATCACTTGGTTTGGTTGCGCGCGGGACGGAAGTCGTTCTGGCTCATCAGTGTTACTTCTCGTCTGTTGGTTTACACGACCGATAAAAGGTACCTTTTGAGATACAGACAACCTGGGAGGGGTTGGAGCAAAGAAGAAGAAGAAAGTAATTAACAGGCAGTGAGTTTCCAACGACGGGAATATACCCTCAAGATGGTCAGTGAATTATACTCCGCAATCTTCCCACTTGCTGCCACTTCTACTGGTGATGGATCGTTAACTTCTAGTGCATGATGCAGTCTGCCTTGTTCAACTTTCAATCACTTCTGCTCGTGTTCTTGCTTATCATCTGCACGAGCACATATGCGCACTCGATGATGCCTGGGATTATGGACCGCAATCAGAGCGGGTAAGTGCTGCTGACTGCTGCTGCTGTCTGCAGTGGACATCATGTCGAGTCTATGAAGTGACATGGTTCTGACTGATATTATCTTCAGCTTCTTCGGGATCTTTTGGAAGTGTGCTCGAATCGGTGAACGGTTGAGCCCGTATGTCAGTATATGCTGTGTCGTGATGGCTGTAAGTATACCAAGCACCTTGCGGGAACCAACTACTAGCTTAAACTGCAATGCTAATACCCATATTCTTGTCAGGTCTCGATCTTCTTCGGCGGCTGATCGACTCGCCCCAACTCCTTGCGGTCTCAGATTAGATGGTCATTCTACCAGGTGGTGGCGTTACTGAAGCTTCTCTTTTCGCATCTTCTTTCCTTGCAGGGGTCTCTCATGATTATTGATCTGTATATCGTACATAAATTCTACACTATCAGGATGTCTATGTTCAAAAAGGATTTTGTCCGAAACCACCGTAATCCCAGGTCCGCGCTAGAGATGCAAGAGAATAAACAGAAACAGACGGGAAACAGAAGAAAGGGTATCTCATGCGTTGGCCTTTAGACGTTGCAGGCCTCGATCGAGCAGCTGCTCAGTTTCCGCTTCGTCCAGCTGGGGAGATTCGGGGTTCGGATTGAAGGCATCCCTCCTCAAGTGTGAGGCAGATTTCAGGTCCAGCTGTTCCACAGCAATCCAGAGCTGCTCCGGATCCCGGAGGTAGCGTAGGCCCTTCATTGTGTAAGCATCGATAGACAGGCCCTGATCCTCGAGGTCCTTGATAGACTGCGCGATGGCAGATGCATTCTGCTGACTCGCAAACCCGCTGATGATGACATTCCAGGTCGTCATACTGTATACGACTCCATGCTTGGCCATCATCTCTCTCACCTTCTCAGCCGCGAGTGGCTGGTTATTGTAGATGAAAGCACTCAACAGCAGCGTCCAGGTCAAGACCGTTGGCTGCGTCTGCGTGAAATTTGATTCAGAGCTGCCAGTCTTGGCGTCAACCTCAGTAGCAGACTGTAGCATATCTTCAACAACGCGCACAGCGGGTCGTAGCCCGTGTGCATTGTTGCGATACGCAAGCATGAACTCATTGTAGGTATGGTCGGTCGCAGCTAGAGGGGCTATATCTTTGTGGCCTTGCAACACCAATTCCCGGAACCTGGTATAGACACGTTCGACACTGCCCACGTGGGCTTGACACCGAAGCCAAGTCGCAATAACGAGATACAAGGCAATGACTGACGGTGGCGTCTTCTCGCCAGTCGTTGGAAGATCGTATTGACGAGGGACAATCGAGAGCTCCTTCAAGGGCGTTATGTCATGCAGCTCACAATACATGCGCAACAGAGAGTAGAAAATCTCCCGGCGGTCGGTAGCACCATCGAGATGCTTCACATTGAAAACGAAGTGGGAGTGGAAAAGCTTGCTCGCAATATAGGGGTTCTTCTTGAGCTCTGGCTGGCTTTCAAGTTCCTCCATCAAGTGTGTCATTCGCTCTCTGTCTTGACGAGCGACAGCATCGCTAAGTAGAGTCAGATAAGTGTACGAATCAAGCTGGAAGCCTTGAGCCTTCATGTGGCGTAGTACGTCAAGCCCTAATTGAGGATCCCCTGTCTTGAAGGCGTTGGAAAGTACCACGTTCATCATGTCTCGGTCGGGCTGCACCCCCATACTGAGGAGTTCGGGAAGAATGCGAAAATTGCGTCCATCCGGACCATCCACAACCGAGTCGAGGACTAAGAGCTTGCTGCAATGGCGTGAAACCGCTATCTCCATGGGGCTCTGATGTAATCTCCAAAACTGCCGCCCAGCCCTGCGCAGTGCCAGGAGTGCGTTGTCAACGTCTTTGAATTCCGTGAAGCGGCCCATGAAACCAAGGTAGGTCTCGCCCTTCAATCTATGTTTCCTGGTCTCCACAAGGTCCCAAGCCTCATAGACGGCACTACGGTCAGCCTTCTTTATGAAGAAGCGCACACCCTTCTGCGGCACATAGGAGACAGGCCACTGCATGGGATCCAAGCAGGCACGTATGACAGACTGATAGTTGTGGGAATTCTTGGTCCACCGCTGCATTTCACGAGAATGAAGAGTGTCCAGATATATCAGACAGTCCGCAATCATGGCAAAGACTGGCTTAACAGAAGCCTGACAAGTGACTAAGAGGAATTCCAAGGCCAGCTCAGGAGAGTTCCGCAATAGCCACAGCGACAATCGTCCCCAGTGGATCTCCATTTCCAGCGGAGTAAGGCCATTCCAGGCCTCACGGAACGCTCCTAGGCTGTCCATTTGAATTGTCTCCAGCAGCTCCTTATCTTTCGAATCCAGAGGGTAAGGCACCAACTCTTCCTGCACTTCTCTCCCATCGTACTTCGCTTGGAATAACTCTCTCTGCGCAAACCTCCATTTTCGAATATCATCGCCACTGCACGTATATGATCCGGACCTGATAGCCAGATCCAAGGCTTTGGTTTCTTTTCCAAAGCGTAATGTCAAGAGCGGCTTCACATCGCTGAAGCTCGCGAGCGTAGGCGGGGTACGCAAACTGCGTTTCTGCACCACGGATAGTGTAGTGTTTTTGTTGATGAGCGATAGTAAAGTTGCATTGCGAGAAGCAGCTCCGGGTGACAGAAGTGAGAAGTCCCTTTTGGTAATCGAGGGCTGGTTATGAAGTACACTATTCCCTGCAGATCGGCCGAAGGTAGTTGTATGGAAGAGGCGTTGGGTCTTCATTTCCGGAATAACAGTGCTGTAGACACTACAATGCCTCACACCATTTGAAAAATTATCTGGCTGACTGGACGTATTCGATTGCGGCGCATTGTCGACAAAGGATCTTGCATCCTGGGGTCCTTCTCTCCATCGCCCGAGGCGGAGCCTATGCTGCGGGTTGTAGACCGGCAATCCAGCGCAGACGCGGGAACGCGGGAGATAGTGCGGACAGGGTAACATTCAGACTCACAGCTTGTTCAGCTCATATCTCGATTGAAAGTTGCGAGAACAATCACCGCGCGGGTTTGGGCCGGGGAACGAAGGGAAGCACGATTGTTGTAGCCAATAATCTTTCCCTCCGCCGCCGGATTTTGCTCCGGCGCCGATGTGGCTGGTGCGGTACAGATGTGGCGCAGCACCGCCCGATAACCAAAGCACAAGCAAGTATCTACCGAAAGATCATTCTAGACTTCATCATCACATCGTCTCAGTTCTCGGGTGACGCGAGACCCTTTCGAAGAGACTCGGAGCTTTCTGCGGGCAGAATAAAAAGATCGTTACTCGTATCTCACCCCGTACTTACACCATATCGTGAAATCCTTCCCCCCGCTCGATTTTTATATCCGACCCTCCTCCCCCCGCCGTGATGTCGTCGAATCATGCTTCTCTCGATGCGGCGGCAAATGAGCGCAAAGCACGCCTTGCAAAGCTTGCTGCGCTGAAGCGGAAACAACCGGAGCCAGAGCCATTGACCGAAGCTGGTGCCGCCGATGAAGAATTGGAAGATGCTGCTCCAGATGTAACAAAGCAATACCTCTCCGGGAGGAACTACGACGCAGAAATGCGCGGCCCAAAGCTGGGCTTCGACACCGCCCCATCAGATGGTCAGATTACCGTGGAAGCGCAGGCTGCAGAAATCGCAAGGGCCACCGCAGAAAAAGCCAAGGAGGATGAGGAAGGTGACCAGCCCATTGACCTCTTCAAGCTACAGCCCAAGAAGCCGAATTGGGATCTGAAGCGGGATCTGGATGAGAAGATGAACGTCCTCAATGTTAGAACTCAGAACGCGATCGCGAAATTGGTCCGCCAACGGATAGAAGAGGCACAGCGCGCAGCTCAGGCGAAAGGAGCAGGTGCCAATGGAGGTGAACAGGGCGAGGAAGTCGGCATTGAAGGTGATATGTTGGTCCAGGGCATTCATGTCCGTGAGAGGGAAGAGGAGGAGGCAGGCAATGATCTGGAGGATGACGAGGCATGATTTTGATACCCCATGGGAAGATGTATGGTAGCAGCTGCGATTCGGTCTCATCTCTTTGCATCTTGCTTTTACAGGCGCCCACAGTTGGAGGATTTGGGACAAGTGTCGCAAGGCGTTGAGGATCTCTGCATACGGTTTACTTGGAGAAATTACTTTCAATGCATTAGCCTTCTGTATGGTCTGTCTTACTATAGTACAGTCCCCCGCTTATAATCCTTGGAGAACCAGCCCGTGGTGATGAGCCTCGAAAGAGGGAAAACGCCAAACTCCCGCACATCCGTTGTCCAGTACTTTTTCTATTCAAAACCTCAAGCCAAAGACACCTAGTTGCCCATATTCATGGACTGCGTCAACGCAAGACGCTTGCTGTAAGGACTGAGACTCCTCTCACGGGGAGGAGGCGGCGCGCGTCCTTGGCCCCGTCCGTCTTTCTGCGAATGACTCGGACCATCCCCATAATTTCTTGAAGCAGGATAGCCACGCTCTGGTCGCTTTTCTGGGGTCGCAGACCGTCTCGTTCTGGCAATCCGGCTGTGATCCACGCTCTGACTTCGGGACCTGTCTCGTCGTTCACGATCCCGTGACAGGTGTCGAGGCCGGCCTCGCTCTTCAGGGCTGGATTCTCGACGCCTCCGCCGGGTGTTCCTGTCACCCTGCCACTCACGCGAGCGAGAACGAGAGTCTCTGTCCCCGGACGAGTAGGAAACTGCGGAATCATGAGAAGACGCATCGCTGTAGCGTCTCTTCCTTTGTCCAGAAACATGGGACGAGATGGACCTTGTTCGACCATGGCCCTTTCGTGCACCATAGTCCGCATGGCGAGTGGGCGATCTTGAGTGTGATCGACTGGTCGATATCGTTGATACCGAGCTGACCGAATGTGATGATGCTGACCGAGCTCGTTTAGAGGTCTGAGTGCGACTGTCAAGAGGATCTGCCTCATCGTGCTCTCTTTTGCGACCTCGTTCTTCCTCGCGCTTAGCAAGGATCTCAGTCGCTAGTCCTTTCCTGTACGCAATTTAGCTCCTGCTCGTGACAGCTCGCTTATGAGCTCGATAAAAAGGATAGACCTACGTGCGTGATGAGTCACTAGGGACATCAGCTGAGAGTTGCGGCCGCAGTTTGGGGTTCAATAACTGCTGCGTGCGTGATGGACGAGACGTGTACGGCCGCTCTTGGGCGGTCACTTTGCATTCATAGCTGTAGTGCCGTGCTGGGACCGTCAGCAAATATGAAAATATAGTGTAGATGGTCTTTACGTATCTCGTTTCAGGCATTTTTGACACAAGGTGCTAGGAGTAGCCTTGGTAGGGCCTCTGAGGCCGGGAGCATTTCGATAGCGATTCATTCGGGGCACGTATCAAGCCAGTGGCGGAAACGTAAAAGAAGCTATGAATCGACTGCCTGTCTGACACACAAGAACACCAAAGAGATAAAGATCCCCGCACGCCAGGAAATCAGCCTGGATATCCCAAACCCAAGCTCTTTCCTCCCCGCGGCTGTCGCAGGCAGAATGTGGGCCGGGCCGACCAGGTTAGGCGCGCGGCTAAGCGCGGGCGGCGGCCCACGAAGGAGGAGCCAAGCGAAACCCGCCCGATTGACTTGAAGCGTTGCTCGTTCCTTCTCAGCCCAAAAGATCAAAAAGCCGGTCCAGCATCGTTGGCCTGCCCTTTTACCCACCCCCCATCTACATCCACTTTCCCCCCAAACTTGCCCTTCGGTGTTAGTGGAAGTCCAAGGGCGCTTCCGTCTCGACTCCCACTCCCTACTTTTTCCGGCTGGCTTGGTTCGTGTCCCGATCGTCTCATTGTTGGTGGAAGGAAACCTCATTTCCCCCTCTGCCCCCCAAAGACAAGCGTTACATATCGAAAGCCATGAGCCAATCTTTCTGACCATCGTGTAAGAGCAGCCTTCTTTCTTCCTTCCTCTCTTTCTCTGCATGCTTGCCTGCATCCCATATTCCGGCTCCTGATCAGCCAGTCCTCTCTCCACCCCGCTTCTCACAGAGCACGGCTTTGTGACATTCCGACCGGACCTGACGTCGAAGCAGCTTTCCTTATGGCGACCTACGTTTTCCAGATATGTGCCGTCTTTCTTTTTGGGCTTGTGTGAAGTGGGATCTTTGAGTGGCTTTTGATCGATATTCATTTCGGCTTTTTTTTTTTCGTCAACACCTGAGCGGGTAGAGTGCAGTCTCTCGTCGGGTTTTCCCCTTATCCAATCCGTCCGTATCCGATCGTTTATTGTCTTAGCGGAAGGAAACGCTACAAGATTCCTGGACGTTTGGCTCAGAGAGTCACGGAATAATGGCATCCAACAGTTCCACAAGAGACGAGCATCGTCTTTCCTTTGCAAAGGTAGGTGCTGCGTTGCTAGTCGGCCAACGGCGGGTTCTCGCTGACCCGCTCAAGCAGATTGCGGCCATGCCTCCGCCATCAATTCCGGAAGTCCCCGTATCATCTGACGAGTTGAACGGCTTACAGTCCGTCGATGACCCTTCATCATGTTCCGAACAACATGGCTCGGAAAATGTCCCCTCCAGCCAGGGCGATCCGATTTCCGTCCGAAACGAGGCTGTCGCTGTTGATCGAAACGTCGACAGTCTATCGCAGGCCGTACATGGTGTCCACATCGATGACAAAAAGTACCACGACGGTCCTGTATTCTCCAATGAGGTTGCAGACAACGCTTCTCTGAAACGGGAGAACTCTTTCGAGGATGATCGTACTCATCTTTCAAACTCCTCAACCAAGCCCACGAGCTTCGATTCTAAGAGCATGGCTTCTGTAACGACATTCGCAATGGACGAAAAAGATTCTTTGCGTCCGGATGACAGTGCGAGCGTTCAGGCCATTGATGAAGAGGAGTCCCTATCTGGGCACGCCTCCGGTGCCCCGAATTCACTGACAGGGTCAGAGTCAGGTGCCCGCGGATTCTTACAGAGACCACGGGGAATTCTCCAGCCCACGGGACCTATCTTCGTTGATGGTATGCAGCGCACAAATGGTGCCATACTGCCAGACACTGTCGCCAACAATTACCCGAATGCCGATGCTTTTCAAGCAGGACGGCCTATACATGGGTTTCCGTCAGAGCCCGACGAGAAACTCCTTGAGGCTATGAAGTCCCCCAAAGACCGCCTCTTGATTCTTCAACTAGAAGAAAAGGTCCGATACTTTATACAGAATTCCAAGTAAGTCAGCCACCATGTTGCCTTTGTGGTTCTGAGTTCAGTATTCTGATGATTTCCTAGGGAGCACTCTTTGGAACTCCCGCCTTCGAACGCTTTTGGGCGGCTCCTTGCACACAAGCTGGGCGATTACTACCATCTGACGCACTTTGTTGACAATAATGTCACATCCGTCCGGCTTCATCGGACGCCTTTCTGTCGGCTGTACGTCTGCGCTGCGATCCTCACATCTTTTATGGTTGACATGTGCTAATTTTTGTAGCCCTACGCCTCTCTCAGTTCTCCACGCTGCGACTAACAGTACTCCGCCTCCCGCCATGCCTGCAATGAAGATCATGCGTCGTACCGATAGTGAGCGGCCTTCCACCGAGGGTAGCATCGCGGCAAGCTCCTCCGCTGCATCTAAGAACGGATCCGAAGCCGGGGACAGCGGAAACGACGGGGAGCGGGGATCTACCCCAGCCAAGGACAGGTTGACCTTGACTCGCGAGGAGAGGGAGGCCAAGTACCAGGAAGCTAGGGAGCGAATTTTCCGTGATTTTACCGAATCCAAGAGTACTGAGAACGCCAATGGCGATTCTTCCAGTACCAATATGTCACGCTCGAGCTCAACAAGTGGACGCAAAAAGGCACAGCGCCAGAAAACTCCTCACGATGACAGTTTCGAGGTTCGATCTCAGTTCAACGCGTATTACCCGGGAATGCCTTATGCCAACGGACCAATGCCCTACGGCATGGCTGTCAACGATCCGTCTTTCCCAGCCCAACCTTGCATGGTGGGACCCGGTGTGTCGCCGCCTAGTATGGGCTACGGTCAGAGTGGCCAGACTGGTCCAATGTATTCCGGGCCCATGAACATGAATGCTATGCCACATTATTCGATGCCTGTGTCGCCTCAGATGACCCCCAGTGGCCCATGGCAGAACGGCCCTGTGCCCCAGCAGTCCCCCTACTCTGGATATGCGACCATCAACCAGTCGCCCGCGATGGCATCCACTAAGTCGTCCCCTGCGTTAAGCAGTTATCCTATGCCAAACCCCGTTCAATATCAACCCAATCCTGGTTGGTCCACGCCACCTTATCCCGGCGCCTATCCACAACCATCACATCGCAATCCTCCCCCATCTGGATGGGCCGGCTATCAAACGCAGCCTCCCACACCGACATCTTATCCTTATGCTCAATATCCCGGACAGCCCATGAGCCCGGGGATGCAGGGCCACGGCGGTGCTCACCCTTTGCCCGGGAGCTTCAATAGGTCGCCTTTCAACCCACAAACCCGCTCATTTGTTCCTGGTGGTGCGACGTTAGCACGGCACCCCAGCAAGGGCAATCAGCATGGTATGAACCCATATCCCGGTATGCAGCCGGGCATGCAGCCCCAGTGGTCCGGATTCCAAGATTTGAACAGCAAGGCTCAAGACATGCCTGGTTCAGTTGGACATGGCCCGACCCGCGGTGGGCCTTCGGGGGGCAGAGATTCTATTGCGAAGTGGGGGACACCGTCACATCTGCCACCCAAGCCACCACCGTCCGAGGTGCCTTCTGACTTTGACTTGAAACCGCGCAGTGGGCCCAGCTCGACGCATCCTTACTCGGGCAACACGCTCCCCGCCACCAAAAACGGGCCGCTAGTTGTTTCTGGCGGAGCAAGCCTGCCACGGGTCAACTGACGTGCTCCTGCCTAGGGCAGACAAAGCTTTTCTTCATTAGAGTGATACTACTACTTGACTGTTTTCTACCAAAAGTACATATGGTTCAATGTTGGCGTGATGTGTTGCTGGTGACAAGGTTCCTGACGTGGCCGTTCTGTATCTCTGGAAGATTAGACATAGGAACTGTTAGTTGTGATCAGCGTCGTATCTCTTGTGGGAGAGAGAAATGATGTGATGCGTGGGAACTGGGTTTCAAGGTCCTGTCAGCGCCGCCCAACCCCTCGCTGTCGACGACTGGGATTTCGTGGGCGTTCGGGACTTGGTTGGAAACCTGAATTACTCGATGTACTTTGAGCATTGCTATGTTTGCTAGATCTTGCTGGCTTGGGAGGGGCAGGCGATAGTGCTTAAAATAAATACACTGTATGACACCAAGTGTTAAGATATTGACGTAGATGTATAAGTAGTCGTCACTACCTGGAGATAATCTCGACGAAGGGGATGAACGGGTCCAATCTACATACACAACACCACTGAAACAAAACAGCTAAAATTACACAATCATGACTAGCCAAAACACAAGGCCCAAGCACACAGCAGTGAAGGTAAAGAAATAGTAAAGGTACACAGTATAAAGGCCACCTAGGCCACCACCACCACCATCGATCACTTACACCCTCACTCTATTGTTTCGCAGGCTTGGCCTTCCCCGCCTCCTCCTTTCCATGACCCGTAATCTCTAAGCGCTTAATCTCCCTCTCGAGATCAGAGATTCCCCCCTTCCGGAACCGCGTGACCTTATTCACATTCATTGTGGTGAGTTCATTGAGGGTCTCCAAGCCCTGAGACCGCTGTCTAGCAACTGTCCGCGCCGTCAAAGCAAACCGCATATCTTTAGGTCCATCTACCAACTCCAGGATTGCACTGGCGGCTTGATCATCCTTCTTGGGTTCGACACGCAGGACTCGCGTGTAGCCACCGGGACGTTCGGCGTAGCGTTCACGAAGGGGACCGAAGAGTTTGGGGAGGAGTTCGTGGGGGGTCTAATCATTCATTTGGTTAGTTGAAATTGTTCGCATTCATCTATCGTATATTCTCCACGGTATGTATGAAATATGTCTTGAGAAAGAAAGAAAAGGATAGAGGGGCAGCATCATACATAAAAGGTCGACAATGCGCGCTTCCGGCTCGCTTCGGTGTTCTTCTTGCCCAGGGTGATCAGCTTCTCGGCCAGTCGTTGCGCCTCCTTGGCCTTGGCCCATGTGGTTGTGATGGATTCATGCTGGAAGAGGGAGGTGACGAGGTTGCGGAGGAGGGCCTGTCTGTGAGAGGACTTGCGGCTCAGATGGCGGAATTTGGCAGCACCTCCGGCCATAGTGTTGGTGGTGAGGGTGGTTTATTTAATATGGAATTCTTTTCGGAGCGGAGTGTGTGGATAAGTTGGCTTTGGGGGCCAGGCGGTGGGATGGGATGAATCGAATCGAAAAGACCGGATGGGATTGAAACCGGTGTGGAGGATCAATGGGATATCAGGACTCGCGGGTTGTTTTTCGTTGTCGTTGAGAGGGAAAGATGAAGCTGGAGATGGAGATGGCGGAAAGATTCGATTCGCCGCGTAGCCAATCGGAGTGCGGGTACGGCAGCCCCGACTTTCTCCTCCGTTTGGGAACATCTTTGATCTTCAATCCTTCCTTCGATCCCCATTGAGTTCTTTTACATCTTATATTTGGGGAATCTCTTTTGCCTGAACTGTACAGTGATATTTGGACAAGTCGGACATATTTATTTTGTCCCCATCTCCCTCTTTGTGGTCACATCAGACGAGACCGATACTCCTCGTCGTTCCATCTCAATCAATCCCGATTGTCTGATTGTCCGCAAGGGCTTTGAAGAACCCCCGCTTTCATCTGTACACTCTACCAACCTTGACATCCTCGATTTGGCTTTGGTCAAACCATTTGTGAATACCCGGTCTTTTAATTCCGAAAAATAGAGATAACATGGGCTTCTTCGCTGGCTTCGTAAGTCCCCGTTATGCCCTTACCACTCTCCCACCTCTTCATCCATCCATCCTACATCCATTCCTTCAACTCCATCCTCCCTCACATACAAATCAAACCAAACCAAAAAAAATCATAGCTTACGCCCAAATCAGTTCAGCGGCTTCGCCCTCACCACCTCCGTCCTGTACATCTCCCTCCAAGTACACAAAGCCAATCGCCTGGAACAGCGCAATGCCATTCGCGAACAAACGCGCGCACTGAACTGGTTGGCCTCATCAGCAGGCGCATACGACCGTCGCTTATTGCCTCAAGAGACCCAGAAGCGTCCGGGTGAGGAAGAAGACCGGAAGACGAAACCCGTCTTGAAGGACTTCTTGAAACATCGCTGGAATCAAGAGGTGGAGACGTTGGCGAGGAAGGCGTATGAGAGTCGGTGGGAGGATGCGCGGGATACGGCTGTGGAAGGGTGGAAGACGGTGGTGCGGTTGGTGAAGAAGGAGTAGATAGATTTGTGTCCTAGTGCTGCCTTTTGTTTATGGTTTACGTTGGGTGCAGGTGTGGGTGTGGGTTTGATGGAGATGAAGTTTCAGATACCCTTTGATTTTTTGTTCTATATTTATACGTTGTTTGGATTTGATTTGTTTGACTAGCGGTATAATGCTACATTTATTGTTTTCTTGGTTCGTGGTGTTTGCTGGGTATATGAAGCAGGACTTCTTTGGGGGTTGTTGCCGCCTATGTGGTGGGTTAAGTATGCGGGTTGGCGCAGACTTGATGCGATTGTCTTGCGACTGCTGGTACTTGGACACTGTATGCCGTGTTGACAGCAATGCATATCCACTGCCAGTAGGCTAGTCGCCTCATTCTATAATACAGAGGGCTATCAAGCAGTCCCCATAGAATGTCTGTATAAGTCAACAGCTAGCTCACCCAGTATCAGTCGTGGTCTGCGTCGTGGTACTCATACTATCAGTATCACTCCAGATATCTTTGCTCTCTCTTTCCACCGCGCGCATAGCCTGAGCGACTTCCTCCAGCTTAGCCACCACATCCAAGACACCATTATTAACCCGATCGAAATATCGATCATTAGCCTCCCGTCTCTCTCGTGCGAGGAGAATATCCTTTCCCGTCTCCTCATCCAGATCCCGCGAGGAACCATCCTCAGGATTAGCAGAATCGCCCGGTCCAGCCGTGCTTCGCGACGCTGGTCGCAGTGACGCATTACTTTTTGCCGTGGCCGCAGCAGCAGCAGCGGCAGCACCTTTTGTTTCCACAACCTCATCCCCAGCTTCGCTGCGCGCCCACGCCTGCGCAAGCTTCAGCTGTTTTGTCCGGAGATCTTCCAACGCCTCGGAGTGCTTCTCCCCAAAGACATGTTCGCCCGTTGCCGCGCTCAGCTCGACCTCGGACAATGCGCTCTGCATCTCCTGCCATATAGCCTCGGAGCCGTCCACCTCCCCCTTAGACTGTTTGCGAGTCAGAAATGGCGAGAGGGACCCCGGGGCCTCGAGGGTTCCTGCCCGGGACGAGCGATTGCGCTGCAGAGGCGGCCGCGGAGAGGCTCCCGTCGTCGGAACAGCAGATACCGGCGGGGGAAGAGAGAGATTGGAGGCATTATGTGACGGCGGGCCCTGGAAGAGGACAGGCGGGGGAAGACGCTGAGCACTTATCTTCCTGGTGTCCATTTTAGGATCCATTTTAGGATCCATTCTGAGTGGGGGGTCCATGATTGACAGTATATTTATTTCCTTCCCTTCTTGCTATAGATTAAACATTATAATGTGGATCACAATTGGATATCAATCGTATAGTTAAAGTTGAAGAAGAAAGGTGGTGATAGTAGTGACAGTATCCTTATCGTTATCAGGAACCACGGGGAGAGCGACAGAAAGAGACGGAGAGGGCCGAAGTTTCTCCGACTCCGACCCAGCCCGAGTCCCGTGCCTCGCTTAGCGGCCGTTTAGGGCGAAGCCGCACAGCAGAACATTTTCGATCTAGTCGAGCGACCGCCGGCCGTGAAAGCGAACCCCCCCTTCGACTTTCGACAACCATCCGCCCATCCAGCCAATTTTATCCATCAGTTCGGTACGTATAGAGATAACCCCCCCCCTATTGTGAATTTATTATCACCAGTCGATATTTCCCTGGTTGCGAAAAAAAAGACACGGAGAAATTCCCCCTACGCACACACAAAGTCCGCCTTATATATATCCCCGAATCTTGAGAAAGAGAAATCCGCAAACACGTCCGCCACCTGCAGCTTTTCCAACTTCATCACCGAAATATCACCCATTTACTGGAAAAATAACATAATTCTAACGGAAATTCTTGCCTTTTTACAGTTCACCCTCCTTCGAACATAATCCGACAAGATGGGTAAGGGACAGCCCCGTGGTTTGAACGCCGCCCGCAAGCTCGCGACCACCCGTCGCGAGAACCGCTGGGCCGATCTGCACTACAAGAAGCGCCTCCTCGGTACTGCCTACAAGTCCTCTCCCTTCGGAGGTGCCTCCCACGCCAAGGGTATCGTTCTTGAGAAGGTCGGTGTTGAGGCCAAGCAGCCCAACTCCGCTATTCGCAAGTGTGTCAAGGTCCAGCTCATCAAGAACGGCAAGAAGGTTACTGCTTTCGGTGGGTGATCCTATCCTCTTTATTTATCTTTATTTTCCCGGTTGTGGATGGATGTGTCTGGTTTGGGGGAATATATGATGGAAGTCTCTGTGTGTGGAGGACACAGACAATATGAGAGAAGGGCAAGGGGAGCATGGAATGGAGTTGGGGCGACACCGGGAAAATACTGAATATCTGATTTCTGGGTATCGATTGTGCTAACATATGGTGCTCTGTATAGTCCCCAACGACGGTTGCTTGAACTTCATCGATGAGAACGACGAGGTCCTCCTCGCCGGTTTCGGTCGTAAGGGCAAGGCCAAGGGTGATATTCCCGGTGTCCGTTTCAAGGTCGTCAAGGTCTCCGGTGTCGGTCTGCTCGCTCTCTGGAAGGAGAAGAAGGAGAAGCCCCGCTCTTAAATAACCCAAACCCTGGGGAATTTAATAAAGATGTTATTAGCGGGGTGGAAGGGGGCCCATTCCATGGAAGATGCTTCGGGGCAAAAGGCAAAGCAAACACAAGTCTATGGTCTGGAATTGATGGTTCAGGACGGATGAGACCCTGCAAAATACATACCATTTGCAGCGTACTACGATTGATATATCCATAAAAGATGGCGCCATGATTTATTTCTTTGGGAGGGCCCTAAAATTCAAATCCTTCAAAAAATGAGTCTAGCTCTTGTCGTAGTTATTTGTATATCAAAGTAAGCATTCGGTTATGCGTTAAATCTAGAACGCGTATGCTACGATCTACGGCGGTTGGTTGCATCAATCGATAAGGACTGATCTCATTCACAAAGATTATCCTAACATCCCCGCGGGTATCGTTGCGTTCCATTATCTATGCCCTTACGCCTTACTCATCTATAGCCGTATTTTTTTGCATGCCATCTTGCAGCCATCTGCATTCCCTTAAGTTTTTGTTCATATGTTGATTCATTTCCATTTCCATAATCCTCAAAACCGTTAGACGTTGATATCCTCCTTGCGGTAGTGGTCCGAGACAATACGGTAAAGGTAAGATGGCGCATGGCCTCCCCTGGAATGCTTGTCAGTTCTGCAGACTTAATGGGCCAAGTTTTAGGGTAACTTACAGGTTAGTGATGTAAAGGTCGACCAGTTCCGCGGGGACATAGTCGTAGAGCGGGTTCTGAACGTCAATTTGGTCTACTAGGTCACCATCTTCGTACCCAATAACTTTGCTGACATCGCCATACTCGATCAGTGAGTCGAAGTCGAACGGGTAGACAGGGCTGAGCTTGTAGACACCGCTCACAACGACCACGGGAGTCTGGTGCACCTTGGCCGCGCGAGCGATGACTCGCGTGCCTGCCGCAGCGACCAATCCGCCGTTGGCAAGGACCGAGTGTGTGCCCAAGATGACCTTGTTGACACGGGACATGAGCGCGAAGACTGCGGAGTCAGGGATGAGAATAACAGTGATGCCAAGAGCAATCAGAGGTTTCTGGAAAGCCTCGGTGCTCAGAATGTCGTCGTCCTTAGGAGCCTGTCCGCTGACAGTGGCATGGGTCGCTTCATGGTTGTTAGGATAAGATTCGGCATGAATCACGGTGAACTTGCGCTTGGCCGCAGCCTTGAGCAAGAACTTTTGGACGGTAGTCGAAGATGTGTGTGTGAGGATGATTTCGTTGGAGTGAATGTGTTCCAAAGCATAGGCCGCAATCTGGTCGTCTACCTGGCCCAACTCATCGATAATCTCGTTGATACCGTCGAGAACTTCGGCACGGATGTCTTTGTTGTGGCTTTGGCCAAGTAGGCGGCCGGACGGAGACGCGGAGGCCGGAGTGCCAGGCAAAGACGACTCAGGCTCTGGGTGTGAGAGGAGACTGAACATGGAAATGGGAGTGGCCGACAGCGAAGTAAAAGGCTGTCTGGAGGATGACCGGTCGGAACCTTCATGGCGAGAAGAGAGAACCTCGGAGGGGTCTGCAAACGGCATAAATATTAACTCACAACAGTCCTGGTTTGAAGTGCTATGAGACAGGACTGACCGTCTAGGGCACGAGGGGTCTGAGGTTGGCTTTCAGAGCCCGCTTCACTCAGAGTGAAGTCGGCCTCTCTGTCGTCTTCCGCTTCATCACGGATCAATCCGAGCACACGTCTGACAATGTTTCCGACCACCATCTCCCTAGGCTGAGCAGCCATCACGCGCCTTCCCACATGCTGGACCCGCTCGATCATCTTGTTCGCATCCGAAGTCCGAGTGGCCGAGATAACACTGCGCAGAAGGTAGGCGGTTGCGGTCGCGCATGATCTGGAATGGCGAATCTGTCTGCGTTTCAGAAGCCTAGAGGCTGGTCAGTATGTTGCACGAGCTGCTGCGACACGCGGTGATATGACGTCGAGGACGCACGAGATCAGATCCTCAATCGATGTATCAATTGGATTCGTCTTCAAGGACTTGAGGAACGACGCCAATCCAGGCGTCAGGGCCGCGGAAGTGGACGGCATGGTTGCGATTAACCGCGAAAGGGTCTCTTATTAAGTTGACTGGCAGGCTTGAAGGTCTTGACAAGCTCCAATGGCTTCCTGGTCAGGCACGCACAGTGTTAGAAGGTGGAGGAGTCATATGGTCGCGAACGGTAGCGTACCTTTGAGGTCGCTGGAAGATTTCTCGAAATTGCACCGGTTGAGGAATTTATGACTAGATCGAACCGGAGAATAACGAACTCCACGTGGGAGACTTTTTTGGGGGGGGGAGAAAAGTGAGGGTGTTAGAGGGGGGAAGTCAGAGGGAGGAAGAGGAGGAGAAGGTGGGATGTGGTGACGGCGGGAGAATTTGCCCGCTTTCTTTCGGTCTCAACTGCGCTCGGCCCAACCATACATACATACGTCCATACATACATACGGTCTCAGCGTAACATACGGCCAGGCCGCTTCTCTCTCTCTCTCTCTCACTCTCTCCTCTTGCTCTCCCCACACTTTCTTACTTCGGCCCATCGTTCCTCAACTTCATCCGCCGGCTGATCGGCTGCTGTCCGTCTCAACTTCCTCTTTCCCCCCCCCCCCCCCCAGCCCTTCCTCCCTCATACCTCCCCTCTCTCCGTGAGGCCTCCCTCTCGTTGTCGCCGTGAATTCCGCACGTTCGGGCTCTCCTTTCCGCCCGTCCTTTCCTCGGATCTACTTGTCGTCATTCCGCCATCCACCAGGTCGGGTAACGGTGAAATCCGAAAAAGCACGGGTTGTCGACTGGCGCATTGAGGTCCGTAGACCCCAACAGTTTCGGCTCTCCATATCACCGCATCATGCTCCAACATCCCCGGTTCCATCACCGGCCTCGACTATCTAGCTTGCAGTATTCAAATGATTGCTGACCTACGCTCCTTCTCCCTCTAGTCACCTGCGCCAGCCCAGACACCCGTGGGCCGTGTGGGAAGATGAACTCGCTCAACATCCTCTCGTCTCGAGTCATTGGCCAGTCGTCCCTCCCAGCTCGGAGCCGTCAGCGTTCCCGGTCTCAGGGAGACGTCGCCAGAGCGAGTGAGCCCGGCGACCTTGCCAAATTTCGGTCGTACAGCGAAAGCAACTTTCACTCGACCGAGGCCCACGAGAATGGCCATGATGCGCCCGACGAGAATATAAACTACTCCCACGAAATTACGTTTGATGAGAAATCGCCCCTATTACGAAGTATACAGAAAGATGGTTCATTTGCTACGAAAAGCACCCTGGGATTCGTTGCCCAACGGTTCTTTGATGCGATTGCGGAAACGATCAAGTTCATCTTATCCACCTTAGCTGCGCCCGGTTTTTATGTTGCCCAATGTTTCGAAGACGATAACGGTCATTATTCTTTCATGGCACCTGTGAGAAAGCTACGACAGCCCGTGTCTCGCCGCCCATCCAAGTCGACTGGCTCCACGACGGCGGGTAGAGGTAGTCGACAAGCGGAGAGCAAGCGACGAACAGGTACTTCGCGACGGTCCAAAAGCAACGTTTCACGGGATTCCATCGCTTCGAGCACGTCCGAGTCGGAAGGAGATCGCCGGAGCGCCAAGGCACTCGGCAATAGTCGGTCACGAACCTCCAAGGCAAAATCGTCCAGTCCAGAACCAAGGCCAGATGAGACCGCTCCTAGACGCTCGATCCGGATCAAGCTTCATAGTGAAGAGGCACTCAAACGACAGAGGCAACGTCGGTCGCAAAGTGCTGATCTGCGCCAGACACCGGAAAATGGGGTTCAGGGTACTCTCAACCTTGACAGTCTCAAATCTCCCACGTCTCCGTCTGTGCATAGCCTCACCAGGTATCCGCATTCTCCTGTCCCTCCTCGCCCGCTGATTCCACCCCGTGTGCCGTCTTACACGGCCAACCTCCGCCTTCCCAAGAGCCCGCAAAAGACTCTAGTCCTCGATCTGGATGAGACTCTCATTCATTCCCTGGCCAAAGGCGGCCGCATGTCCAGTGGGCACATGGTTGAGGTCAAACTGTCCACGCCGATGACGACTGCACTCACACCCGGCGGACCTCCCACGACTCTGGGCCCGCAGCACCCTATTCTGTATTACGTACACAAGCGACCCCACTGTGATGAGTTCTTGCGCAAGATCTCCAAGTGGTACAAGCTGGTCATCTTCACAGCTAGTGTGCAAGAGTATGCGGATCCAGTCATTGACTGGCTTGAGCAGGAGCGGAAATACTTCCAGGCGCGGTATTACCGTCAGCACTGTACTTTACGGAATGGTGCATATATCAAGGACCTCAGCTCTGTGGAGCCTGATTTGAGTAAGGTGATGATCCTGGACAACAGTCCTATGAGTTATATTTTTCACGAAGGTATGTCTCGACTTTGGCGTGATTCTCCTGCCATACCCCAGCCTGCTCTAACATCTCCGATAGATAATGCTATCCCAATTGAGGGCTGGATTAATGATCCCACGGATAATGGTCTTCTTCACCTCGTCCCCATGTTAGAAGCTTTGCAGTATGTGACCGATGTGCGGGCATTTTTGGCCTTGCGTAGAGGGGAAGCGGAAGCTTAATCTGGCGCCGAGGGGGCGAGGGTGGAGGCCTTTACCAGACCATAGAAACGAAAATCAGAAAAACGAAGAAAAAAAGAAGCAAGAAAGAGAAAGCACACAGTTTGATGTTTACGGAAGTCTTATAATGCATTCATAGCTCAGCTCAGCTCATGTAAAGAAGAGGCTGAAGGGAAAGCATGACGAGTGTTCACTGAAGCATATTGTTTGTTCCTCTCCATTCCATTACCATACCATACCCCCTCTCCTGTTTTTATCCTTTTGCCTTTATTATACTACTTCTTTGTCACCCTACAGATTCTTGTAATTCCTTTTTATTTTTTTTCCCATTGTCATTCTTCTATACTATTCTCTATTCTTACATTTGTGTCATTCTGTTCCACCTTGTCTCACGAGTCAGGATCCATCCTCAACTGCTCGCCTTGCCGCCCACGAACCTCAAATACCATATACCTTCCTGTCTGAATTTTATTCATCAAGACAGCGTTGCTAACTGCCACTTTGCTTCTTCTCTTCTTTGACTGAAAGAATCAATCGGGATCGAGTTGTGAGTTTCTTACTGCTTTTGTATGTCTGTCATGTCAGTTAGCCTGGGGATAGATCATTCCATTCCATCAATGGCCTGTTGGTTCAATCGAATTAGATCTCCCGAGTCGTACTACTCTTTTCTGTTTGAAAAAAAAGCGAGAGCTGTTACAGGTAAGTAGTATAGCTCGACTCAGGGACTTACGATGCTAAGTTCTTAGTAACTAGTACTAGTACTAACAGTTGTGCCAGTCTTGTCATGATAGGCGTGGGTAAATATATATGCTGTAGTGGGGACAGTTACCAGTGAATAACTAATATGGAAATAACTATGAACTAACCGAGGTGATGATGGCATGACTGTCAGGATATCACGTAATCTATAATACTACGTAGGAATGAATCTTTCTTTAACCTAAGTTCTCCAATTATTTACTTAGATACTCATATAGGAAGACTACTATCTAGTAGATATACTGCAGTGCAAGTGGAGACGGAATAAATGGTAAACCCGATAGGGTAATATGGCAGAAGCTGTCAGTTCCTATCGCTGTTTAATTATCGTTATCGCGGCGTGTCCGACATCGGGGAATTCGAATTGATACAAAGTATGAATATTACGACATATATTTTGTGAAATAGTTTTATCCAATTTTTATTCATTTCGTGATAATTTCCTTTTGTTTGGCTTGTTCGTCTAAGAAATCGTTATGGTACTAATTGATATTACAGACCCTTGGCCTGCTTGGCCTCTGTCAAGGCTTCCTTCAAGGCAGCAATGGCCTTGTCGACGTCTGAGCGGTTGGGATCCGTAACGCTGACGCCCATGTGTCCGAAGCGGATGTACTTGGTGGCAACCTGCTTGTGCAGACCCGCTGCAAAGATGACGCCGCGCTTCAGCAGACCCGGCAGGACGTCCGGGGGAGCCAGACCCTCCGGCAGCCAGATGGCCGTCATGGCGTGAGCCTGGTTCTCGGGCTGGGAAGCGACCTGCTGCAGACCGAGCTCGGCGACAGCAGCCTTGACGCGGTCGGAGGCCTGGGCGTGAATGGCGTAGCGCTCCGACATGGGGCGGGCGGTGATCTGGGAGAGGGTGGTGTGCAGGGCGTGGACGAGCTGGGTGGGAGGGGTGGCGAAGTAGGAGGGCTTGAAGTTCTCGTAGTTCTGCATGATGGGGAGCCAGTTGGCGATGGAGGCGTAGTAGGAGGACGGGGGCGTCTGGCGGGTCTTGAAGGTGTCGATGGCACGGCCGGACAGCATCAGGATGCTGAGGCCGGGCGGGCAGCCAATGGCCTTCTGACTGGCCGTAAGGACGACGTCAATGTCCCATTCGTCAAAAGCGATCTCTTCGCAGCCGACACTGCAGACACCGTCGACGACGATCAGGGTCTGGGGGCTGACGCGGCGGACGACCTCGGCCACGCGCTTGATGTCGCTAAGGACACCAGTCGAAGTGTCGACGTGGGTGATGGTGATGATCTTGTAGGGCTTCTCCTTAAGGGCCTGCTCAATCTGCTCGAAAGAGGGGCGTTCGCCGATGGGGGCCTTGAGCTGGGTGGCATTGGCGCCATAGGTTTCCAAGCAGGTAGCGAAGGAGTCGGCGAAGTAACCGGTGTGCAGAACCAGGGCATTCTCACCCTTCTCGATCAGGTTGGAGGCCACGATATCCCAGCCGAGAGTACCACTACCGGAGATGACGAAGGGCTGAGCAGCAGGGTTGGAGGACTGGAAGAGCTTCCGGACCATGGACAGGGTCTCTCCGAAAGTCTTGACGAAACCGGGGGCGACATGGCTCTCACTGGAAGCCAAGAAATCGGTCAATGAGGGGCAGATCGGAGGAAAAAGGACGAGGAGGGGAAGGGGATTAACTTACGCATAGTGAGCCATTGACTGGAGGACAGCATCGTCGAATTCAATGGGCCCTGGGATCAACAGGGTGGGGTGAGGGGCTTGGGAGGACATTTTGGCGGCGGGGGGAGAGGAGTCAGTGGGAGAGGAAGGAGTCGAAGGAGTAGAAGGAGAGGTAGTCGGAGTGGAAGCAGTGCGATCGAGGGGTTTATATTCGATATCGTCGGGAGCCAACGAGTTCCTCTCGGTCGAGAAGGGAGTGTTAAGCTCCGGCAGCGGGAGTCGCTGATCCAGGTGCCTGGAAATCAGGCTCAATCGCTGCTGGGGAGTGCGTTTGGCCGCCAGGGTTGCTGATTGAATCGGCTCTCGACGGGAGAGAGCCTGCGGGGTAAAGGAAGATTGGATAACGATAACTAACTCTCTTTTGCTTGTGATGGAGGGTGGAACAACCGTGGGTTTCCCTCGGGGATCGCCGGGCTTGGATGCAGTAATGCCAGTAATTGCTTGTAATCTCTGTATTCTCCAGGCACAACTACACAAGTACTCTTACCCTAAGAGGACTTTTCCTAGTGCAATGGCTGATTCCGGGTGATTTTATGCGATGGGTAAGATTGGAAGACGATTTATGGGAATCGGTTTTTAAGAATTCGGGTTTTGGGGAAATAGTTGTATTTCCTCACGTTCAAAAATTTTTCCATTCCCCTTTTTTCAAATTATTCCCCTTTTTCCCTTACATTCTATCGGCCGGAAGACGCCATTCTTTCTCCAACCCGGGCGGACCCTTCCGTTCCACGATTTTCTCCGCGTTCAACAATGGCTGTGTCTTGTCTTGACTCATACAAATGACATGACTAGTTGACTAACTAGTGTAGTTTGACTGCACGATGGGCCATTGTTGATTTACTTTGCATACTTCTGGGCACATTGAATGTCAGTTGTGTCTTGGTACAAATGAGACCTCAGTACGTAACAGCCACAACCGGCGCAGTGACCCATACTACGCCGTCCTCCCTCACTGCAATGTCCATGTGGACGATCTCGGCCAATTCTCTGAAGATTCATCCTGGTGACTGACTTAACTAATTACTTACTCAAGATGTACCACCAGTCAGCACGATTCTCAGGTCTTTGTCCTTTCATTTGGAATTAATTAGTGACCACCCGGAGCAGTCCAGGCCTTCGGACTTCCCACCTACTGATTCTCCGTTTCATAGCAGCAAAGATGAAATTGTCTTAATTTTTTGGCCTCGCAGATGTATGTAGGAAAGCGCAAAGATGTCTGCCCGAATCTGCTGGATAGAACAATAACCTGGTTGCTTACGGCGCCCACATGCTGTCGTGGAGGGGTGTTGTTGGTCTTCCATTCGATGCTGAGCTTCGGGGAGCCTTGGTTCTCTTCCAAGTGGGTCTGAGTCTCCAGCTGGACGACGACCTGCCATCCATTCCATGATGCAGTTTGTCTGCGTTCATTCTGGTTACATCAAAAGGAATAAATAGTTGTCCTCTTCAACGTCCCTAATCCAAATCATTTAAACAGGATACTTGTCGGTTTACAGCTTGGAATTCCTTGAATCTTCTACCCCTCTCTTTACCCCTCCATCGGATTATCACAATGGCAACCCAAGAGCCTAAACCCGCAGTGGTCTGCGTTTTGTAGGCTGACCTCCCCCGGATACTTCAGTACTTCTCAAAATGATAGTACTAATTCCCAATCAGCTGCGGCTCCTATCCCGGTAACTCTCCTAGCCATCTGGAAGCAGCTCGTGCGCTTGCGCAAGATTTCCACAAGCACAATGTGCAGCTGGTTTACGGTGGTGGTACCGTTGGTATCATGGGAGAGCTCGCCAAAACCCTGGTGTCATTGTCAGGACCAAAGTCAGTCCAGGGAATTATCCCGCAAGCCTTGGTCGAGGTCGAAGAAGGCTACAAAGGCTCAGCAGCAGACACGCAAAGCAAGGAAGGCAAGGCTGCTGAGCGTGTCGTGAACCAGTCCGTACAAGAATCCAACTTCGGCATGGTGACCATCGTCCCCGACATGCATACCCGCAAGAGATTGATGGCCCAGAAGGTCCTTGAAGGCGGTCCCGGGTCAGGCTTCGTTGCCCTTGCTGGTGGATTTGGCACCATGGAGGAACTTATGGAAATGACCACCTGGAACCAGCTTGGTATCCACAAGGCGGGCATCGTCCTACTGAACATCAACGGCTACTGGAATGGGATTCTCCAGTGGATCCAGGCCGCTGTCAAAGAGGGTCTGGTGAGCCCTGAGAATGCTCGTATCATTGCAGAGGCTACAAAGGTGGAGGAAGTTCTTAAGATGCTGAGGGAGTATCAAATCAGCAGTGATCGTATGGCGTTGAACTGGGGACAAGAATAAGCGGTCGATTACTCAGCAATCTTCTACCAGCATACACGATACAACATGGCACCGCGACACTTCTAACCTGTATAGTTAAGGAGTACTGAAATTGTCGCATAGAGTCTCCTATAATAGAACGACTTATGAATAGTTGTCCAGCCAAGTGACCTACAGAGGCTAACCCCGAACGGCTTGTAGGATAGGGCTTAGGGCAGCCCGGGGTGGCAGGCATCCATCGGCGGGCGTCCATAAGCTTTCCCCGCGGAGCTCCATCGCGCCGGAGGAGCAACTGATAGTCAATACGTAGCTTAATTTCCCATTCCCGTTCCCATCACCGTCGCCGTCTGCTGTCCGCATACTACTTCTCGCCAATCATACTCCCAAGATCACGCCCACTTGGAATGGGCCTTGAGTACTTCCTTGCTTGCTTCTTCTAGGATGACTTCCCGTCTAGTCCTGGTCATTGGTGACCTCTTCATCCCCGACAGAGCCCCCGTACGCATCCCCTCATCCCTTATCGCATCCTCGCAGGTTGACCTGTCTGCTGACTTGTACTCGCTAGGACCTCCCGGCCAAGGTGTGCACTTTTGCTCCATCCCTCTTGATCCTCCTCTCTGTTTCGCAATCCCCCGTTCTCGATTAACACGCGCACAGTTCCGGAAACTCCTGACGCCAGGCAAGATCGGCCAGATCCTCTGTCTCGGCAATCTCACCGATCGGAGCACATTCGAATTCCTCCGACAGGTCGCTCCAGACTTGCAATTGGTCAAAGGCGACTTCGATGTCGATTCCCCAAACCTACCCCTCTCCAAAGTGGTGACTCACGGGAGTCTCCGCATCGGCTTTACTCATGGCCACACCATCATCCCGCCGGGGGACGCCGATGCCCTTCTAATTGCTGCACGCCAGATGGATGTCGATATACTGCTATGGGGTGGAACCCACCGCTTTGAAGCTTTTGAGCTGGAAGGGAGATTCTTCATCAACCCGGGCAGTGCCACCGGAGCCATGAGCACGGGGTATTGGCCTGAAGGGGAGGAGCCGACACCCAGTTTCTGTTTGATGGATGTAAGTCGCGCAACTTTACAGTGGCCTGCTGCAAGACTTTGTGCGTGCTATATGCTAACAAAGTATCGCAGATTCAAGGCGATGTTCTCGTGTTGTATGTCTACCAGCTGAAGACGGACGCCAACGGGGTTGAGACGGTCGCGGTCGAGAAAGTATCTTACCGCAAGAACAATATCCCTTCTTCATGAGTTGACGCTTTATAATTTCTTATTGTACATACATAGAACCAGGCACGATAATGATGTTCTTCCAACCTATGCGGCTGTTGTTCATGTTGTTCATGTTGAATTAGTTGATAGTGATGTACGGTTGCAATCCATGATCTGTCCTGAACACGTCGCATCGCGTAGGGCAGTGGCTGACATATAGCATGATTCCTGCTGCAAATAAGACCCCTACCCAAGGAGATGATAGGTTCTATCGGTATTATACTAAGGGCGCGGTAATTGCTACGGAGATTGACAGGCTCCTTGCTGTACAGTGGACATTTTTACGTAACTTTGATGTTTCCGAACTTAAAAGGAAAGAAAAAAAAAGACATTTAGAGGTCCGCAAGCCTTGGGAAATACGTACGTAGCGATGGATTGAATCCCAACATCTGCCAATGCGACAGGAACTTGCCGAGTCCTACTAGGGGCTCAGGATGATGTAGAGCGGTACCGACGGGAGTGGTCCAATGACAAACCTGCTAGGCCGGAAAGAGCAAGCAGTGACTTCGGCGTCGATCAACGCAAGCATCACATTTGGTTTCTGCACCCTCCAGTCACCTATCACCTATCTTACTTTCTCTACTTGAACAGGTCCTAGTTTAGTTCTAGGTGCCAGTCCTTTCTGCCCTTCTCGGACCTTTTATTTTTCCTGCAGCTTTCCCTCCCCCGCCCACTAGACCAGTTCCGCGGAAGCTATCGTTGCCGCTTGAGCTTTCATTGCGACTCAGTGACGTGAAGAAAAAACGACGCGACTCTCTCTACACCTCTAATAATAATGGCTACGGAAGAGAACGAGATCAAGGATGAGCGCCTGCAACACCAGGAGGAGGCTGGTGATGATGAGGTACGTTTTGACGGCTTGCGCTGAAAACCTGACGCTTGGTGCTTTCTTTTGCTGGTTTCTTGGCTTGCTTCTATTTGACTTTACGATTTGTCTTTACACTGGATCCAGCTAATGTGCCATTTCTTTTTCATGACTCTTAGGAGGAGATTGCGGCGATGAAGAAACGGGTAGCCGAAATGGAATCCGAGGCAGCGAAGCTACGCGAGATGCAAGCCACACTTGATCAGCAATCGGAGAACCTGCGTGAGGACAAAGAGGAGATCGACGCTCGGAGTATCTTCGTCGGCAACGTGGACTACGGTGCCTCTCCCGAGGAGATCCAGGCACACTTTCAAAGTTGCGGCTCAATAAACCGTGTTACTATCCTGCTGGACAAGTTCACGGGCCAGCCCAAGGGGTATGTTGCAGCGCATTCATCTGACAGGCAGGGAGTTTCATATGCTGATATGATTTACAGATACGCCTATGTAGAATTCGCGGAACCCAGTTTAGTGGCTCAGGCCCTTGTCCTGAACGAGAGTGTCTTCCGTGGCCGGAACCTGAAGGTAGGTCGCATGATTGAGGCCATTGATCGATTGAATGATACTAATGCACTGTGGTTCACAGGTCGTTCCCAAGCGTACCAACCTGCCCGGCATGAGCCGCGGTCGTGGACGAGGTGGATTCCGCGGTGGTGGTGGTGGTAGGGGGTACCGTGGCGGATTTGCGCCCCGTGGAGGTTATCGCGGTGGCTACCGTGGCCGGGGTCGCGGCTATGCGCCCTACTAAGGGCATGGTCTGCTAGGAGGCGAAGCATGCGAGCGAATGTTAGGTGCAGACTCGACGTGGCATTGCGGTGGAGACGTCCAGTGCGACGCACAGGTCGAGATCTGAAATGCACACATCTCTCTTGATCTAGCGAGGGAATCCTCTGGAGTTTATGGACTGGGATGTACTTTGTATGATAACCCTCGGGCAATCTCGGACTGCGCCAGATGGGTGGAGCACTGAAGTCGCTTGTTTCTTGTTGTGATATCATAAAGCCTACAGAGAGAATTTGCTTTACGACAGGAACCGTCAAGAAAAAGAAACTAGTCAAGAGGACGGACCTTTGGGAATTACGGTCTTGGAACAGACAGAATAATGGAGCTGCTGTGAGTTCAGCAAAAAAAAAAAAAAAAAAGAGAGAGAAATATGTGGCTCATAAAAATTCTATGTAGTAAAAGGCAGCAAGGCATTGGAATTGGCCATGCCAATAATAATAGTACTGTAGGGAGCAAGGACGGAAGAAAAACAGGGAATAACGTCATGAGAAAAATAAATAGAAATAATATAACTGAGTAATGAAAATCTACACCAATGAAGAACGGGATGCCCAGCCAGAACAGCCCTACACTAAAACCAAATTACTACCAAGTACTGTGGCTTTGTCAATCACTATCGGCAAGGTCGGCATGATGTCGCATTTGGAGAGGGAATATCAAGCATCAAATAGTAAAGCGGGAAAGGGGGGACGGAGGAGCATCCAATCTCCGTCAGCAAGAGAGAGAGAGAGTCTAGAAAGGCCGACCCATGCGAGGCGCTGACGAGTTTATTCCTCAAAGCGGAGCAAGAGAGAGGGAATCATATCGCTTCCCTTCTTTTTTTTTTTCTCTGCTACTTCTCCTCCCTTGGGTATTGTGCCCCACTGTGCTTGTGTAATTGACTGTAATGGTGTGAAGATATCATTCATTGATTGGTAAGTTTTAAGTTGGAAGAAGGAAGAAGAGAAGGAGATGAATTGGAAGAGGGAGGGGGGGAAGTGCAATTTGCCGTGGGAAGAATTTGGCTGCCTTGGAGGGGGGGCGGAGGGATATATCTAAAAAATGATTAACTTCCAGTATGTTGCAGAGTTGTGAAAGTGAAATTTGAAAATAGGCATCTACGTACTTAACTATTTATTCTCTATTGAGAGAGTATCAGTATTGAAAAAGTGACCGCGGGGCTGGCGTTTTTTGGGCGGAATTCCGGGCAGCCCAAACGATCGGAGGGAAATCATCGATACTATCTAGACTAGACTAGACTAGTAGACTGGTTACTCAGTATTTTTGTAGTGACTGTAGCAAGTCACTAAGATTAACTTATTGTAGAGTATCAGATTGAAGCAAAGAGATTGATTGCATCTTCTACAGTTTATATCGCTAAGAGATCGATCTATCTTTTTTTTTTTTTTTTTTTTTTTTCTGCCGTTGAAGAATAATAGAGAAGAGAGTCGTGCTACTTACTACTAGATGATACTACTACTACTACCACCACTAATTACTACATGACTCTAGTACATACAGAGACTAGAACAAGTTGTGCTTAGCTGCTTTGACGTCTCTCTAGTCAGTAGTTAGTTAGTTAGTTAGTTAGTCGCTCGTCCTTTCTCTTTCCCTCCCCCTCCTTTCCCTTTCTCGCCACGACCATCGGAACAAGCACCAGGAGAAAAAAACCCACCGTTCATCCTCTGATACTCGTGGACTCTTCCAGCCGGGCATCGTTCCCAACTAAACTTGACTAGCACACAAACGGGATACCCGTTAGTTTACTAGTAAGTAGAGGAAGAAGAAGAAGAAGAAGAAGAAGATCCGCCTTTGCCCGCGCCAACCTTTCACTCCGAGTCGTCTCTCCCCTCCTCCCTGTTGCCTCCGGGTCAAAGTCCCACGACTTTGTCTCTCTGTGTGTGTTTGTGTGTTTCTGCCTTGTCTGCTTGACTAAGAAGTACTTAGTTAACTAAAGTTAGTTAACTTAGTTAAGTGAGTTACTTAGTAACTTATTAAGTGGTTTCTTTGCTGCACCTCCCGGGCGAACCCCTCGCGGCCCCGTGATTGGCTCCCAAAGCGCAACGTCAGGACTGCCCTGCTCAGCCCCAAACTGGCCTGCGAGACTGACTGGAAAGACACTATCTACGACTGACTGACTGCCCGCGCCTCCTCCTTCTCCATCATCATCTAAACGCCTTCGCTCGGCCCGTTGGTTATCGTCACCCTCATCTTTAATCGTCCTTACTTTTTCTCTCTCTCTCTCTT